AATAATTTAGTATGCACTTTTAGAACATCAATGATCAAACCTTAAAAGTCAACAATCATCAATCCTTAAAGTTAACAACTTTAAGGATATTTTTGTCTTTTTAACAGAAAAAGTACTTATCAACACTTGTTTACCAAACACTTCAACAGTTTTTTTTTAAGTTTCATCACTTTTATCCAAACAGGTAACTGTTTATTTATAAAATAAGTTTGAGCACTTAATAGTTGCTTTTAAGCATTTGTGCTTAAAAGTCACTTTTTTTAAGTGCCACTTTTTTTAAGTCAATCCAACGGGCTCTTAAAACTCTTATATCTTGCTCATTTTCTCTTTATAAACTGTTTATTCTTATTTAGTGAAATTCTTTAATTTGCTTTATAATCTCCAAAAGTGCCATTTCCATTTTTATTTGATTAGTCAATATCCTAATTTCCACATGTTTAAAACATATACACCGGGGGTTGTTTGGTACGAGGAATATGACAGGATAAGATGTGAGATTAAATTTATACCGTATTTAATTAGTGGTATAAATTTATACCTTCAACCAAATACGGTATAAATTTAATCCCAGACTTAATCATCTTATCCCACATTATCCCATTAAACTAGAGATTATTTTATTCCACTCTCATACTTAATCATCTTATCTCATATTATCCCATTAAACTTGAGATTATTTTATCCTACTCCCATGTAATATAAATTAGTCATCAGATTATAATCCCAGGATTATAATATCGGAATAATTTAGTATGCACTTTTAGAACATCAATGATCAAACCTTAAAAGTCAACAATCATCAATAAATAAAGACAAATTGAAGTTGCTTCAGTAACCTACAAGGAAGTTGACTGCTTTGCCTGACTAGTTTGACCCCACTTCAACAATAAGTATAATATTTGAAGTATAAATCATTCTTCAGAGATGTTTTCATTGCTGATATCTATTTTTTCTTTATTTCAAGATTTAGCAGGAAGTCTTTCAATATATGGAGAAAACCAACTTTAGAACAAGATCTTTCTTTTTCATCTGCACATTTCTTGGATTTCTATTGATATTACTTAGCAAAATTTCTGTCTGTAGTGCTGCAGAAAATGATTTTTATTGCTTGAAATCAATAAAAGATTCATTACAAGACCCTTTCAATAATTTGGGCAGTTGGGATTTCAACAATGTTACAGAAGGCTTCATCTGCCGTTTTTCAGGAATTAATTGCTGGCATGATAATGAGAATAAGGTACTGAGCATCACACTTTCAAACTATGGATTAATTGGTGAGTTTCCTCGAGGCGTTCGAAATTGTACAAGTTTGACTAATTTAGATCTTTCAGGCAACAAGTTGTATGGAAATATCCCTTCTGATATTTCAGTGATACTTGATTATGTGGTAATACTTGATCTATCATATAACACATTTTCTGGCAATATACCACCTGATATAGCTAATTGTACCTACCTTAACTTTCTGGGGTTGGACAATAATAATTTAGAAGGTGAAATTCCAAGTAGAATAGGCTCTTTACTTCGCCTTCGGACATTCAGTGTAGCCAACAATTACTTGACTGGGGCAGTGCCGTCGTTTGTTAATGAACAAATCACAGCTAAAAGTTTTGAAAACAATCCAGAGTTTTGTGGGAAGCCTTTGAAAGGATGTGAGAATTCTTGGATATGGAAACATATCGANCTGGACACTTGCCATCAAGAAGCTCAATGAATGGGAGAATTTGGAGGACGAGTTTGTCTCTGAGATAACAACTCTCGGTGGCCTGAGACATCGGAACCTATTGCCTCTTATAGGTTTCTGTGCTGAAAAAGAAAACAGATTTCTTGTTTACAAATATATGCCTAATGGAAGTCTTCATGAATGGCTGCACTCGAACGAAGAAAAGGCCAAGATTTTGGACTTCCCTCTTAGAGTTAAAATTGCACTTGGGATAGCGAAAGGCCTTGCTTGGCTTCATCATGGGTACGAATTACACGTTACACACGGGAGCATAAGCACACGATGTATCTTGCTAGATCAAAATTTTGAACCTAAAATATCCAATTTTTGGGAAGCCAAGTTTTGGAGTAAGAATGACACTGCATTAAGTTGGAGTCTTTTCCCAGTAGCTGAATATTCTGGTTTAGGTTCTTACAAGCAAGACATTTACTGCTTTGGTGTTGTGCTTCTCGAGCTTGTAACTGGGAAGGAACCACATGAACTGACCAGCTCGAGAAATCTATTTGATCATTCGCCTTGTCTACTTGATGCAGATAGAGATTTGCTTGGAAAAGGAGTCGACGATTTAATCCTCCAATTTCTTGAATTAGCTTGTACCTGTGTGAAGTTCTTTCCTAATGAAAGGCCAACAATGCTGGAAGTGTATGACACATTGAGGACAGTTTCTCAGGGCCGAACAGACTGAATACGAATTATACCCTTATCAACTGATATTTCAAGTCTATATGACTAGTGCTGAGGAGACAAAGTAAGAGCACACTAAATTAAACCATGAAAGCCATTATGTAAGTCTGTACATTAATAGCTTCTATTGCAATTGTAATTTCTAAGAATCTGTATATACTCTATAATATTGGAAAAGAATATGGATTGCATTTTTAGTTTCTGAAAGAATAGAAGACTGATCCTGCATTGGCTTAGTTAAAATTTTATATGCATTTTTCTGAGACTCGTCTTCTGAAACTGTCGTCGAGCTGTTTTTCAGAATATTAGCATTCTAATATTGGATTCTGGGGTGAATTGTTACTTTCGAATAGTTGAGAACTAACTGAAGATTCCCAAAATTTGGTATAGGCAATCACCTAGAGTAAATGCTGAAACCAGTTGTTATTAGGTCAGTTATGGTTGTGATTCAAAATTGATAAAGTATGAAACATAAACCTATAGACAATCTAATATAATTGCATATTTAAAAATCTAACAAATGTATATATCTCTTTTCAGACCATAACCATGATATTCAAATCCAACTTCAACTCCTGATCCCCCTGCTGTCTCAATCTAAAGATGATCAGTAACATATAGATGCTTACTACATTGATTCATTAATTCTGTACTAATTAAAGTCATTGCAATTATATTTCTGAAATTTGTTTCTGTTATTACAAGTTTTAGTGAGTCAAGATGACTATCTACTACAGACAGAAGATTAAGGTCATTATAAGGATAGTAAACATGTAATAATGCCTAGGATATCTCCTAGATTTAAGCCAGGAGAATAAGGAATCATCAATAAATAAAGACAAAATTGAAGTCTTTTTCCAAGTTTGCTTCCGTATACTGCAATGAAGTTGAGTTCTTGGCCCAGCTAGTTTGACCCCGTTGCTATAATAAGCATAATCACTCTTTTGGAAAGATCTTCTGTGCTGATATATCCGTCCTATTTAATTCAAGATTTAGCAGGAGGATTATCAAAGTGATGGATAAAACAAATTTCAAAACAAGCCCTTTCATTTTCATCAGTATCTCTCTTGGCTTTCAATTAACATTACTTGCCAGATTTTGTGTCTGCAATGCTGCAGAGAGTGATATTTATTGCTTGAAATCAATAAAAGATTCATTACAAGACCCTTACAATTACTTGGACTCTTGGGATTTCACCAATGCTACCGAAGGCTTCATCTGTCGTTTTACAGGAATTCAATGCTGGCATCCTAATGAGAATAAGGTACTGAATGTCGCGCTTTCAAGCATGGATTTGCAGGGTGAGTTTTCTCGTGGCATTCGAAATTGTACAAGCTCGACTGGTTTAGATCTTTATGGCAACAACTTGTATGGAACCATACCATTTGATATTTCAGTAATACTTGAACATGTTACAACACTTGATCTCTCAAGTAACCGATTTTCTGGCATATACCGCCTGATATAGCTAATTGTGCCTACCTTAATGTTCTGAGGTTGGACAACAATAATCTAGAAGGTGAAATTCCAAGCAGAATAGGCCTTTTGCTTTGCCTTAAGACATTTAGTGTAGCCAACAATAATTTGACCGGTTTAGTGCCATCATTTGTTAGCGAACAAATCACAGCTGATAGTTTTGCAAACAATCCAGGGCTTTGTGGTAAGCCCTTAAATGGATGTGAGGATTCTGAGGATTCTTGGATATGGAAACATATCGATTGTTCCTCATTCATCACAGCGTTTGTGGTCGGTTGGGTATTTTTCTCTACATCAGTTTTAGTTCTTTGCTTATTTCAATTTCCTAGCAAGGCAATCAACAAGATAGTCTCATTCAACAAATGGAAGCTGAGGTCAAAGGAACATTCAAGTCCAGGAAGTGATTCACCTAGTGAAGAAGAATTAAGTAGCCAACAGAAGGTAAACATATTGCTAAATTTTCAGCTTTTCCCCTGCATTTTTATGTTATAATTTTTTGTTTTGCTACAATTCTAGATTAGTTATAGTCCTTGCAAATCTGTCATGCAATTCTTTATTCGAGATGAATAAACACGATAGATGTAAGGTTTTCAAGTTTCTGTGTTTGTTCCAATGATTCAACTCACTATTTTACAGATATTAAGGCTGGAGAAGTTTGTCACTAGAATGAGTTTCAAGGAGTTGGCAATAACAACTTCTGATTTTTGTGAAGACTATTTAGTAGGAAATGGAATGCTGGGGAAAGTGTACAAAGCAATTCTTCCAAATGGCTGGCCACTTGCCATCAAGAAGCTCAATGAATGGGAGAATTTGGAGGACGAGTTCGTGTGTGAGATAACAACTCTCGGTGGCCTGAGACATCGGAACCTATTGCCTCTTATAGGTTTCTGCGCTGAAAAGGAAAAAAGACTTCTTGTTTACAAATACATGCATAGTGGAAATCTTCATGAATGGCTGCACTCAACCGAATATACGGCCCATATTTTGGACTTCCCTCTTAGACTTAAAATTGCACTTGGGATAGCAAAAGGCCTGGTTTGGCTTCATCATGGGTATGAATTACATGTCACACACTGAAACATAAGCACACGGTGTATCTTGCTAGATAGAAATTTTGAACCAAAAATATCCAACTTTTGGGAAGCGAAATTCTGGAGTAAGAATGACAACTGCATTAAGTTGGAGTCTTTTCCCAGCAGCTGAATATTCAAATTTAGGTTGTTATAAGCAAGATATCTACTGCTTTGGTGTGATGCTTCTTGAGCTGGTTACTGGGAAGGAACCACATGAATTGACCAGCTCAAGAAATCTATTTGATCGCTCTCCTTGTCTACTTGATGCAGATAGAGATTTGCTTGGAAAAGGAATCAACGATTTGATCCTCCAATTTCTAGAGTTAGCTTGTGACTGTGTGAAGTTCTTTCCTAATGAAAGGCCAACAATGTTGGAAGTCTATATGACACACTGAGGTCAATTTCTCAGGGTCGAAAGGACTTGCTACGAAGACAGAGTAGAAGTGCACCAGATTAAACTATGAAAGCCATAAGTCTGTACAGTAATAGCTTCTGTTGCAACTGTAATGTTATACTCTACAATGTTGGAAAACCATATTGATTGCATGTTTCTAAAAGAAGCTCAGCAGACTGATGCTGCATTGCATTGTCTTAGTTTGAATTTTATAGGCATTCTTCTGAGAATTATCTTCTGAAATTAGCCTCGAGCAGTTTCTTTCTATAAAACTATAACCATGATATTAGTTCAAAACCAACTGCAACCCCTTGATTCCCCTGCTTTCTCTATCTAAACTTGATCAATTAATATCTAAATGCTTACTACATTGACTCTATTCATTCTGTACTAACTTAAAGTCATATTGCGATTAGATTTTGAAACTTGTTTCTGTAGAATAAGGTTTAGTGAGCCAAATTCACTATTTACTACTGACAATTTGAGGAAGATTATGGTCATTATTAGGATAGTAAACATGGAAGAATGCATTAAGCTAGTGATTATGTTTGTGGCTGATATCAAACAGCCACTCCATTTTTATTTTGAAGGTGGGAACCGAATTAATGGATGTCAACTCCGTGTGATCATAAGTCACAGGTTTGAGCCGCGGAAGCAGCTACTAATGCGTTAGGGCTAGGCTGTGCGGCCCTTCCTTTGTGAACTTTGTGCACCGGGCTGTCCATGGATTTCGGGTACCCAATTGGTTTAAATACAAGAAAGGATATCTAGCAAATGAAGTCATATTCAATTGGTGACTGCATCTTATTTCAGTTGAACTAAAAGGTGCACTTTTTGATGTACCTGGTCTCCTATTTTGGTTAAGCTTATTAAGCAACTTGAAGCCGTTATTTGCATCTGTGTTGTCCCTTTTAGCATGTTTTGGAAGGAAGTCCAAGACCTTTGGACTTTATGACTTTAACGTGTTTTATTTTTCCTCCCAATTGTAACTTGACGTTTTCAACATATGTTATTAAGGGGTATCAAAATATATAAAAGTAAATACATCAGAAAATTAAGGGGGTCAACACATAGAATATATATATAATTTTTTTTACCTACCTACACAATATATTTTTCTCGCTTGTAAGGTGGCTCCGCCACGGTTCCCAGCCACCTTAAATTTTGTCAGTCCAACAAATTCCATAAGGTACAGGTCAAATATTCAGATCTAAGTTGCATAAGATATATTTCATCAATATATCAATGGAAGTCCGATGAAGAACAGAGAATAAAAGTAGCTAGTTTTGGTTAAAAAATCTTCTGCCAAATATAAAAAAAATTAGAATCAGAATTTACCAATATTTGGGTTAGAATATCAGACTTATATATTATGAAAACTAAAATTACTTGTTTTTATATGTTTAATTCAAGATGGTTTTAAAAAAATATACAATCCCAATACACAAACTGTAAAAAGAAACTTTTGGTAAATTCTTATTTTAATTCTACTGTTTAAGAAATATTGTTTAGTAGTAGATCCTAGAAAATAGATATAGAGATATGCCGATAACTAATTCTCCGTTATTCCCTAGTGGTGCAGCCCCCACGTTGCATGTCATGAATGCACGCAGCCGCTATTCTCTCATTTTTACAAATTTGATTAGACTATACAACTACAATAGGGTAGAAAGCATTTTATAGTGTTGCATTTAATTTGTTTAATCTCATAGCAGAAAAGATTCTGGTAAGTAGCGGTTCCTTTTAATAGACATTTTGCTGTGCAAATTCGAATTAATCGAGACCCTATATTGGTGCGCCGAAACCTAGTGCACTACTAAAAATCTGCTAAAAACCGACCAACTATTTCTGTCGGTCAAAAAAAGCGACCAAAAACCGTCCAGGTTGGACGGAAACTGGGAAAAAAATTTATATTTTTTTAAAACTAAATACCGACCAACGTTGGTCGGTAAATTGGTCAACGAATTGACCCAGCTGGTCAGACAAGAAATTTTTGGATCCAATTTTTTAAATTTTAATAATTATTTTATTATTTAAAATATTTTATAATATTTA